AGCAAAAACTATTGAATATTTTATAACCTCGTTAGTAAATGGTGTAAATAATTAAATAAAGGGATCAAATAATTAATAGGACGGAATTTATTATAAGTCATGCCGTTACAGTACGTCGATTCTATAAAATTTGTTTGATTTTGAATCTTGTTCGAGTGTTCACACTCGTGAGCGTCGAAGTGACACTTTATACGTCATCTCATACTTTATCTATCAAAATGTTGCTGTCAATTTAGTTCAACTCGCAAGTGTAGCGCTAGTGTACTAACTCAAAGCGGATTCAGACTCGAAATTTGGAATGAAGTCTTACAGAATCACACAACAGATCGCAGAGCCATGCTTCGGCACGAATGAGTCAGCTCGACCGGAGTGATACCACGGCCTCACAGAAAAGCGGCGTGAAACAACCACAGCGTTGTGTTTCGCCGTGTAAGTACCGGAGGCCCAATCCTTCCCTACCCCCAATCCGTCCCTAATCCCCAAAAGATCGGCAACGCACTCGTAACTCCTCCGTTGTAACGGATGTCCATATGCGGCGCCGTTTGCTTTCAAACCTAGGTACTAATATTATAAAGAGGTATTTGTAAGTTTGTATGTAGGGGGCAATCTTTGAAACCGCTGGTCGGATATCCAAAACGTTTTTACTGACAGGTAGCTAGCTACTATGTTCCTGGCTGATATAGGCTATTTTTACTTGAATTGCGTATTTTATTCGAGCTATCGCTTTAAACGCTGCTGTTTTAGGAGTTACCTACATTACTTACGTGCGAAGCCGCGGGCGGAAGCCATTTTTTAATAAAAATATATTAGGAAATGATTAAACAAATGTCTCTAAGTATGGCGGTTAAACTGATAAATTTAATTATGAAATACCGATCATAAATAATATTAGATATACGCATATACTATCGGTCAAATAACAAGATAAGAAAAACATAGATTAAAAATAAATAGTTATATTATGTTTGTCATTTTCGTTAAAATTCAACATTTACCTCAACAAAAAAAAACGAAAGGAGATTTATTGATATTGATCAGATAATAATTTTCGTAAATGTTTGGCATTTAGCAAAATTCAATCCCTAATAATCGAATAGCCAAAAAATAAATGAAAAATCAATTAAATCGACTATTGGAGATTGAGTCTTATTTCGTTTTAGTGTTTGTACCTACCTAATTTATTAAATTTAATAAATGTGTTATGCGTTACTATAGAATTTTATCACAGTACCGTTTTTGGCATTTCAATCTCAAAATTGAAATTGACATCAAATAATATCATCTAACTTCAAGAATTGCGATGAAATATTTACCTAAACACATCTGTGAATGGGCACAATGTAGGCACACTTGGCAGCCATTTTACCCCACAGATAAAACATAAAACAGAATTATTGAATACCATTTACAAGGAACGCTTTAAAACAGCCTATAAAACACGATTAAAAATGTAACCTACATTAATGTAGCTTCTAAGTTAACGTAAAAAAACGCACGTATTATATAGGTTAGAAAGTATTGATTTTGTTGTACGGAGAGAGAGAGATAGCGCATATCAGCTGTCTGTCAACCCGCGCGTACCATTTACACAAGTGGCAAATCTCAATAGGCTGAATGTCGATATTTCCGTGCCTTGTCAAAAAAATTGTCTCCAATCTCCAATATGGCGGATTTTTTAATGTTTGTTTCGTCATTACAATGACTATTTTGTTTCGTATTTAATAAGATTAGTAAAATATATAATTTATTGATATAAATTTTCGTTTCGTTGTAACAGAACTGTGTTTCTATGTGTATTTTTTTAATGTAATACGGATAACATTTTTCAAGGAGTCAAATAGGTACAACACTTGTTTCCAAACAAAACCTATCCTTATTTATTTATTAATTGTGCGTAAGAATCTTGCTTTCTTTTTAAATTAGTTACACAATTACGAAAATTGAGTACCTATGTCATCATATAAATGAACGAAAGTGTGATTACCTACTTTTAAATATTTTATGGTAAGTAATGAAAACTTTCAATCGTAACGAAAAAATAGTTTAATTCATTTGTTTGACATTTCGAAGCACATTAATTTTATCCCAGATCCAAATTCAAGATTTTGTTAACTACTCGAGCCTAAGATCAAATTCACCATTAATATCGCTCTCGTATCCCATAAGACGTCCACTGCCTTCAACGGACCTCTTTCAATGAATTCCAGATCGATACTGGTGTAACTAAAATAATTCGTAGCCATTTACTACGAGATCTCTACGACTGGGCTACGAGCCTACGAGAGTACGCATACTTATTATATTTTTATCACAATATATTTTAAATGCAAAGTTTTCTTATCTTAATAGTTTATATTTTTGCAGTAAAAAATAATAATAGATTAAACAAATTTCATAGTTACAGGAGACAAAGGTGCCAGATAAATCTGGTAAGTACCTATGTGACTTTTTTTGTGATAGAACGATAAACGAGCAGAAGAATTACCTGATGGTAAGCAATCGATTTACAAGTGCGGTGTCTTATGAGGTTTTTTCGTCGATTTAGGGATTCGAGGAGGCAAAGTATTGGGCCTCCGGTAACCTCACTTACACGGCGAAACACAACACTGTGGTTGTTCTAACACCAGTTTTCTGTGAGGCCGGTTCAGTCGACCCGTTCGTGCCGAAGCAAGGCTCTTCCACATTTATGGTCACCGAAAATAGAGTACGCTGACCCTTCCTCAAAGGCGAACAGCAGAGTTCTATGTCCTTATAGCTTCGAAGTGCCAACGGCGCGTTGACGCGTTAAAAAATCAATACTCATACAATCAGAGTTTGTAAGTATATTATGTCTGTTAACCGACTTATTAAGGGAGAAATGTAAGATGACATAAGATGGCAAATGAGCGGACTGATAACCTGATGTTAAGCAATCAGCGCCGCCCATGGACACCCACCAAAACGGAGTAGTTACGAGTATGTGGCCGTCCTTTTGGGGATTTGGGTTTTGGAGATTAAAGGATTGGGGAGGGATGGAGGGAGGCGAATTGTTATTGCCTAGGCTTATGGGCTCCGGAACACAACGCTGTGGGTGTTGTGTTGAACTGCGTTACTCCAGTTGACCTGGAGGTAAAAGTTTCCGCTTCTCATGCATGAGGGTTCGAAACCTGACAAGTACCAAAGTGACTTTTTTCGAGTTATTTATACTTTCTAGGATTATTAAGACACCACTGACATACGGTGAAGAACAACATCGTGAGGAAACTCGGACTTATTATTTCTAATATTAAGTTTGAAACCGCCTTGAGCGAGCGTGGTGATTAATGCTCAAATCTTCTCCGTGTGAGAAGAGGCCTTTGCTCAGCAGTGGGCACTTATAGGCTGATGATGTGAAGAGTCTGTTACTTCCTTTCCCTCACAGGATGGAATAAATAATTTGATAATGTTGCCCTATCCAAAAAATGCTTTATATCATATTATATTTTCATGTTATATATTATTATAACATACAGTTTAAGTTTCTTATCTAGCTAATTAGATCAGTAACATATATTGTTATCAGCACTGACATATGGTTAAAACTAGGTCACATACAGCGGTTAAACTTTAACTGTAAAATTAGAAGCGTAGTTAATAAACTATAATATATCAAGCATTTTAATCCTGTAAAATTAAGATTTTATCACCTATTTTTATTGGAGTAAAAATTAATTTATATTTTTTTTATAGGCTCAAAATTGTATAATTACATTCCAAAGATATAAAAGTTTCTGTTATTATTATTTTTTTTCTTTTGAGGTAGGTAACTCATCAACTAATTTCTTCCGTTCTGTATGGGACGAGAGGGAGTGTCAGACTCTTACTGACTTAATTAAAACCATCTGTACAAATTTCAACTGTCTAAGTACCACGCTTTATGACATTTAACCTGGTAACAGATCGACAGACAGATAGACAGACGGACAGCAAAGTCTTATATGTTTCCAGTTTTGACGTTATACCGTACGGTATACAAGAAAACAAATGAAAATCGCAAACGAAAAAAATTAATAGACTCTTTTTTCGTGTTAGAGTAATTCTATGGTATGAAATTATTTTCTTAGATTCACAGTATAGTGTTGTTCATTTTACTTCTCAGAAGGGATAATTAGAGGAGTACGTTAGGTATTGTATAATTCTAAAGCCACATTTCAACACTTTTTTTTATTAAACCTATATACGAAATAGAATGCGAAATTGTTGCTATAAACTGCGCACAACTAAAATATATCACAAATCAACTTAAAACGTATTTTTCTCTTCAGTAGAAAATAGAAAAAAGATTTTTTTTCATCGGAAAACCACTCCCTATTTTTTTCTTTCCTTAATATTATAAATGTGTTTTTTATTCATATGATGAATTAATTAAAAAACCTATTTTATTAATACTTAAAGAAATAATTAGGATTTTCGCAGAAAATTTACGTTTCTTCCCTATTTCCTCTGTATTACGTGTTTTTTGGATCGACTCTACCATTTTCAGTTTCATGTAACTTCTTTTTTCCTAAGTTTCAATGTTGGAAATAGAAAAAAAACTGCGTTAATTAATTTTAGCACTAAAATGTTTAAAACAATTGAAATACGCTGCCTAAACTTGACGATACCAATTTCACGACAAAACATCTGTTTAAAACAATTATAACAATAAAAAAAATCCACATCATCGTAAACATTTACTAAAACGTTTTTTTTTTTTAATAAACACTTTATATATTACGAAGTAACAAATAAAAAAGAAATCCGAGTTATAAATTTTACTCTTTATGAAAACGAACCGATTAAGTATTTAACAATAAGAATGAACATGAAAACTGTCAAATAACCAATAGAAACTGCAAACAGTATCAAAATCAAGCTGAATACACCACAACAATTACAAGTGCACAAATGCTAATGTAACACGTATTTGATACCTAACAACGTTCCGTCGTAAAATACGTAAATACGTTTATTACGTGGTTAAAGATTATAGAGTTACTTACTTGGTAAGTCTCATCAGGTTTACCAGGATACGATGCACTCCTACGGTAGTCCGGAGGCCGTGGTGGCGCCGGCGCCCTTCTCCAGGGGGCGAAGGCCGAGGGCTGAGGTGCCTGTGGCGCGGGCCACCTGTACTGAGGCGCCCGACGGAAAGGCGCTCTGTACTGTCTCTCGTCATCAGCAACGCTTGGAGCCCCTGGGTATTGCAGTTCGCCCATTTAGACATACGTCCAACCGTGGCGGCGGTCGGACTCGAACTAGCGATAACATATCGGTCGATGTGGGATGCGCGCGCATGCCGCGTTCCGTATTTGAATTCAGGGGACAAAAAAGTATTTATTACAATTTTTTTTTTCGTACCAACCTCTCTTGTTTTTTTAAGTTTCGAGTTAAAGCAAGAACTAGATCGCAATATGGCGTTCGTAGAGAAAATATCAAATTTTCTTTTTAGTTTCCCCTGTTACCTAAGTGTTTCGGTCACAATGCAGTGTTTTAACACACACACACATAAAAACAGGCACTCACTTGAATACAGCCACGCTATACACATAGCTACGTTTACAGGCTGAAACTACTGAAATATATCTCGATATTTCTCTTTGGTAAATTATCAGGTCTAAGCCACATTTGTTTATTGGTAACAATAAGCTTAGGCCGAGGTGCCATCGTTTAATACATGGAACACTGGCCTACATTTGTAACTCAAATAAAATGCATAATAGCTTACTATTATTTTAAACCCACTTAAAGTCTCAATGCACCTAACATTCTGATCGGAAAACCGCAAAAACCAAGCTTCTATTCAAAATCTAATCAACAATTTCCTTTAAAAATGTACCTACAGATATTTACATTTTAAACGATATTTTATTTCCAACACACTTAAACAGTGAAATAAAAGGTACTTATGTAATAATTATATTAATTTAAAATTAAAATAGTAATTTCATAAAAACAAACACATTGTTGTAAGTTATGACCGTAGCAAGGAAGGTAGAGAGAGATAAACGCATCGCTGTCTCTTTCACTCTCAATACCACATTTTCTTTCACGCGGTATGAAAGAAAATGTCATAACTGTGGTGGGTGTGACGTCACATTGTAATGATACGCCTCATTAGCCGTTACTTAGGTATCGTCATGAGCTAATGTTCACATGTAAACAGCAGCTCATGTAAAGAGATTGTCCAGTCAACTGATGGTAGCGGTGACTGTCCAGGCGACACACGTACTTAGGTATCGTCATGAGCTAATGTTCACATGTAAACAGCAGCTCATGTAAAGAGATTGTCCAGTCAACTGGTGGAAGCGGTGACTGTCCAGGCGACACACGTACTTAGGTATCGTCATGAGCTAATGTTCACATGTAAACAGCAGCTCATGTAAAGAGATTGTCCAGTCAACTGATGGTAGCGGTGACTGTCCAGGCGACACACGTACTTAGGTATCGTCATGAGCTAATGTTCACATGTAAACAGCAGCTCATGTAAAGAGATTGTCCAGTCAACTGGTGGAAGCGGTGACTGTCCAGGCGACACACGTACTTAGGTATCGTCATGAGCTAATGTTCACATGTAAACAGCAGCTCATGTAAAGAGATTGTCCAGTCAACTGGTGGAAGCGGTGACTGTCCAGGCGACACACGTACTTAGGTATCGTCATGAGCTAATGTTCACATGTAAACAGCAGCTCATGTAAAGAGATTGTCCAGTCAACTGATGGTAGCGGTGACTGTCCAGGCGACACACGTATTTAGGTATCGTCATGAGCTAATGTTCACATGTAAACAGCAGCTCATGAAAAGAGATTGTCCAGTCAACTGATGGTAGCGGTGTCTGTCCAGGCGACACACGTACTTAGGTATCGTCATGAGCTAATGTTCACATGTAAACAGCAGCTCATGAAAAGAGATTGTCCAGTCAACTGATGGTAGCGGTGTCTGTCCAGGCGACACACGTACTTAGGTATCGTCATGAGCTAATGTTCACATGTAAACAGCAGCTCATGTAAAGAGATTGTCCAGTCAACTGATGGTAGCGGTGACTGACCAGGCGACACACGTACTTAGGTATCGTCATGAGCTAATGTTCACATGTAAACAGCAGCTCATGTAAAGAGATTGTCCAGTCAACTGATGGTAGCGGTGACTGTCCAGGCAAGACACGTACTTAGGTATCGTCATGAGCTAATGTTCACATGTAAACAGCAGCTCATGTAAAGAGATTGTCCAGTCAACTGATGGTAGCGGTGACTGACCAGGCGACACACGTACTTAGGTATCGTCATGAGCTAATGTTCACATGTAAACAGCAGCTCATGTAAAGAGATTGTCCAGTCAACTGATGGTAGCGGTGACTGTCCAGGCGACACACGTACTTAGGTATCGTCATGAGCTAATGTTCACATGTAAACAGCAGCTCATGTAAAGAGATTGTCCTGTCAACTGATGACAGATAAACACGTACTCAAATACTGAAAAATACACAAATAAACCTTTTAAAACTCTCAGAAGAAGCTCGGAGTCTGGGAATTGTGCCGTTTTTCTTAGGGGAGAAATTTATGAAAATGTCCTTTGTGGAGCGAAAGGTCAGTAAGAATGTCATACTCTTACTGAATAAAAACCATACAGTTCCTTCTCCTGTTCTAAACTGGGGACGCAGTATATTATTGATTGCTTCCTCAACCCGGGCTGAACTTCAGCATCAAGTATTAGGCCCCATCTGTGGTAAAACAAGGCCGGACAGAACGCTACGCGAAGTTTGCTCTGGGTCTGATTCTGGTCTGGCGGTAAGCTATCCTTTACTTTACGTTTCCCAGTTCCTCTCGCTCCGTCCCATGGCCTCGACTTAGGCCAGACGCAAGAGGTTGCCACCGCAGATCACTTCTCTAGGGACACAGCGGTGCTCAGCCCACGCGCAAAGGAGAAATTCAACGCCGTGTTTCACGCCGGTTTTCTGTGAGGCTGTTGTATCACTTCCGTCGAGCTGACCCATTCGTTATTCCTAGTAAACCCCCTCCTCCCTCCCATGAATATTGTGTAAGTACCGGTACCTGACCTACATCCTCTTCTTACATGGAGAAAGAATGAGCAATAGCAACTCCTCTTGAAATTAGTCTAAGTTTAGCTACGAGGTTATTCAACGTATGTCAGTGGTATCAAAATAATCTTAGTAAGTAAGTACATATAACTCGGAATAAATAACATATTGGCACTTGCCATATGGTTTTACCTCCATGTATGAAGGTATGAAGCGTTCACCTTGGTCCCTAGGCCACCACAACACCTACTTCATTCAGCTAAAAAAATACGATAATATAATAACGGATCTGCATTTAAATAAAAGTTTGGTAAGTGCTATAAAGTTTCTATAAAAAAAAACTGATTTTAAACTTAGGACTTATTTTAAGATTGGTTTATACTTATTATAAACTAGCTTCCGCACGCGGCTCCGCACACGCTTAAAGCGATAGTTCGACTAAAATACGCAAATCAAATCAAGTATATTTTTTAGGAATGTTCCTGGCATTGTAGCTATCTCTCAGTGGAAGAATTTTGGAAATCCGGCCAAGAATTCCAAACATTACCCCTTAATCCCAACTTAGGTACTTATTTTAATTCTTTATAATATTAGTATATGATATTGTGAATATCTCTTTTTTTATGTAATAGGTCGGCAAACGAGCAGACGGATTAACTGATGGTAAGCAATCAGCGCCGCCCATGGATACCCGCAACGGAGGAGTTACGAGTGCGTTGCCGACCTTTTAGGGATTAGGGATTTGGAGATTTAGGAACTGGGGAGGGATTGGGGAAGGGGAAGGATTGGGCCTCCGGTAACCTCACTCACACGGCGAAACACAACGCTGTGGTTGTTTCACGCCGGTTTTCTGTGAGGCAGTGGTATCACTCCGGTCGAGCCGACCCATTCGTGCCGAAACATGGCTCTCCCACACTTAACATCTCATCGTTACTTATTAATATGTACCTACTAACAGATTCATAAATTCAACAACAAACAAAAAAATAAAACAAGACATTGTCTACGACACCCATTTATTTTTTAACAAAGTTATTACAAGGACATTTCCATGCAGCTTATGTAAGTTCCTACCAAAAAGGTTTTCTTTAATGATCATTCTCTTTGCCTGCATTGCAAGGGATACGTTGCGTTCAAATGAATTTCAATTTAAATAGGCAGAAACTGTATTTAGGTTTAGCTGGGAAGCGAGTAAACTGCATCATGCAAGGCCATCTACAACATCAGAGGAGTTACGAGTGCGTTGTGGCTGAAGGATTCGGTTCCCGGAAACCTCACCCATGCGTTATATCTCTCACAAATGTTAAGCAACTTGCAAATGATGATAATGATTACTACCAATGCCAAGTGATTAGGTATCTGGGTTGATTTTTGTTTGGATGCACGTTACTTATATGTCGTAGCCAACCCACTTAGCTTTACTGACCGACAGACTGACATTATATCTTCAAAATTTTGTTTCAAGTTCAAAAGTGCCTCTAATGGTCTAATTGAAATAAATAATTTTGACTTTTAACTTAATGATACATTGAGTTAAAGGTCAAGTTTTTTTAATTATTGGTACTGCATAGTATTCTCATCAGCCGGAGTTTTGGGGCAAGGGCCGCAATAAGGAACCGCAGCCCCAGTTTTGAGTAGGTAGGAGACGGAACGGGGTTGTTTCTTCATACCGTGGCCTCACAGAAAACCGGTGTGAAACAACCACAGCGTTGTGTTTCGCCGTGTGAGTGAGGTTACCAGAAGCCAAATCCCTACGCCTCCCCCCATCCTTTCCCAATTCTTAAATATCAGAAACCTTTATCCCTAAAAGGCCGGCAACGCATCCTTTGGCGTTGCACCATTTACCATCAGGTAATCCGTTTGCTCGTTTGCAGACTTTAACCATAAAAAAGTCAGTAAGAGTCTGATAATCTCGTCTCGCTGTGGACGAGAGACGTCATTTGAGGATTTTTGCCAAGAAAAAAGCTGAGAAGCGATAGGTTTTATCAGAAACTCTTACTGACTTTTTTATAGTCTACCCCATGCCTTCTCATGCTCCAGGCTGACACTAGTTAATAAATAAGTAATAGATGTTATTATGCAGTTCCAATACTGAGAACCGCAGCTAATGGTGTTTTGTGTCGGACAAATCAATATTTCTGCAAGGTTATGCCGCGCTTCCGATCCTCTATGAGTGGCCAGTTTTCACTCCATTATTTTAACGAAAGCCGTGGGGTAATTG